ACTGAATCCATATTTTTCATATGTTTTATATACTGTATCCACTTAAATTAATTAAACTCTGACACAGTTTGAGATAAATGTATCAAACCAACTGTAAAATATTCAGAATATTATTCCCTATACTGCACAAGGCTTGTTTTTCTGATTATGCCTTTATTGTTTTTATATACAGTACTGAATCCATATTTTTCATGTTTTATATACTGTATCCACTTAAATTAATTAAACTCTGACACAAACTCTGACATATATATATTATACACACTTACATACACACAAAGAAAAAAAAAGTCTAGAATAAATCTACTGCAATATAATGTCTAATGTATGCATAAATAACACATTTAGTATAATGATTCTATTAACTGCATAAACTACAAACATTTTAAAATGTTTTTTTTTTCACTGCTTTTCTTGAAATACACAGTTATAAATTACCACCTTCCAAGGTGTGAAAGAGGAAGAAAGTGATGGAGTGAGCAGGGATAAAAGAGGATGACATCAGCCATCAGCCAATAGAGCTGTGTGTCTATGTTAGTCACAAGAGTGGAAGTAGACCATCTGTCTGACGTGCATAAACACACACACACACACACACACACACACACACACACAGAAAGTGTCAATTAGACTGACAGACATTTTGGGCAGTGGAAAAATGAAAAAAAAAAACGTTTTATTAAATAATAAATTATTTATTTTTTAAATAAATAAAATTAATAAATAAATTAATTAATGAAAATGACAAAATCATATCTTCCGGTTCTGGGTGCTGACTGGTCAATAGAGCGTTTCAGAAAAAATTTACAATGCATTAAGTTTTATTATGAAACATCTGCTCATCTAGCTGCAATATACAGCATCACTGTGCATATGCATAAATCAGCACACATCTCCTCAATAAGAGGCATGATTTGAACTATCTTTCATGTCTATGACATATGGTGTGGGGTGAGTTATGAGCTGAATTTTGGGCTGGAAAAATAACAAAGCTTGATGAATAATAATAGTGATGCTTTCCTGAAGCGAGCGCCACTAATTAGAGCATATGCAAATGAGTCTGAGAGAGTCTGACAGAGCTGGAACTGCACAAAGATGGACGGCAGGGAGAAACAGAGAGCGTTACCTTGTGTCCAGCAGCGTTCACTATCTTGTGTGTGGAGAAGGGAAACGCATCGTTGCTGAGGTCAGAGTTCAGCACTTCCTGCAGCAGCTCACGGCTGTCAACACACAAATCACACACTTCACCGTCAGTTCACTGAAAACTAGCCCTGTACAGTCAGCATAGAACCATACCAACAAAATCAATACCTCATAAATCAGCATCAGCTTTATGAGTTTTAAAAGTTAGTAAACGTCTTGCTTTCCTAATTTAATCATTTAATTTAAAAATGTATTTTAAATTGTATTCATATATTTAAATGGTATTCATGTTATAAATAAAATAAAATAAAATAAATAAAATAATTAGTGAAATTAGAATGAATACAATGGCCCCAAAGTAAAGGGACATTTAATTTGCACTTAAAGTGTATTAATACTTAAAAAATACATCAAATCAAGTGGCATTTGTTTCAAAGAAAAGCACACATTTCAAGCAATGCATTTCACAAAAGTGGTTTAAAATCATAAAACTTCAAATTAATTTAAAATAGTATTTTAAAGTAACATTTAATTTTAGAATAAAAAATGAAATAATAAAGAAAAACAGATTCATAATTTGTAAAATCAACATAAATACAGTGGCTCGAAAAGTACTTGGACACTTAATTCACACTTAAAATGCATTAATACATAAATCTTAAATTCACGTGACATTTAATTTGAAGAGAAGAACACTAAGAAAAAAATTTCACAAACGAGGTTTAAGTAAAAAAAAAATTAGAACTTTTAACATTTTTATTTTAAAATAGTATTAACTTATGGAGGGCCAAATTACTCAATTAAATCATTAAATAAATATTGAAATATATAAATAAATCATTAAATACATAATTAAATACATACATAAATATTCATTCCCTCCATATTTTATTTTACCCTGAAAAAAAATAAAAATAAATAAAAATATATATACAGTAATATTTTGAAAATATTTACATGGATTTACATGTATATATTTATATTTTATATATTATATAAAAATACATTTAATATATAAACATACAATTTTTCTTAATTATATACATGCATGTGTGTGTATTTATATATACATAATAAATATACCTAGTACACACATATATTATGTAAACAAAAACTTTTATTTTGGATGCAATTAACAGGGTTCTTACACATTTTTACCAATAAATTTCCATGACTTATGAGACAATATTCATGACCTAATGTTTCATTATTTTACAATAAGAATAAAAATCTGTTCAAATTATCATTGCATATGTTAACTAAAATTAATGACTATTAATGCTACTTGTTTGCTTTCTTGTTTTAGTAATAAGTACAAGCTGCAACTGCGCCAGACGTTACTCCACACAGAGAACATATCACATCACTGAATATTATCATTTATTTAACTCAGTTAAACGCAGGATCTGAATTTCGTTTTGGAAACTTTTCTCTTTCGCAACCGTTTACATTCACTTAAGAAAAAACTGACAGTGCTTATGAGGATATTTTTACGAGGCTATTTCAGCCCCGACTTATTTACAGCTTCGGGACAATTTTCACGTCATAGCTCAGATGCGGGCCGGGCATCGGGTTTGTTTTAGGCTTCCTCCTTATTTTTATATTTTAGATATCCATAAATTATTATAGTGATGAAAAGGTTTTGCCGCGCTGGTGGAAACAACATGATGCTACAGCGACTGTCAAGAGCGGCTCGACGATGTTTAGTGTCCAGCAGCAGTGAGTGCTGGAAGAGTTCCACGTTAAAACGCATGCAATGAAGCTTGCTGCAAAACCCCAGCAAGTAATTATCATGATGAATATTTTGGGGCCAGGGGAAATAAAATATTCTCTGAGTTTTGGTTCATTTTTGTGAAGCGCTCCTGCTCAAGACCGAGGCGGCAGAAAGCGCATCCTGTTTGTTTTCTAAAAAAGCACAAGGTATTCTTGTGATATGCTTTTTTAAGTATTTTATATATAGATTTTATTTTAGTCAAGTGGTGATGATTTGAGAAAGCTAAATTGATCAAACATAGGCTATGATTAACTCACCGTCTGCCTCTGGTTCCAAACATATTTCTAAATTAACTTAATAAAGAAACGAAAATAAATATAACCACATTGCCATTAAAAACTAAACTGAACTATTTTAATGGCTACAAAAGCAGCTGTGTAATTGAGGAAGAGAGAAAAAAGACACGGTCTCCAGTTGGACTCAAGAGAATTCTGATAAGCTGTTGGACAAGGGCCGGACAAGGGCATATGTTTGAGGCCCGTGCAGGGTTCTACTGAGCTTGTTTGGTACCAAACTCAATTTGGTACTTGCAAGGCGGCTTTATATATGCACGCGCGTGCTTTGGATGTGACTGCGCACCGCTTCTGGAGCGCGCAAGTACCGAATGGCTTAAAAATACGTGCAAATAAATAATACTTTTTTGTAACAGTGCAACAATGACCCGATTAGGCAAGTGACAATTCTGTCAACTGTAGGCTACCGAAACGCGAGCGAAAGTCTTGTATCGCAGCGTGCAGCGGCTCTTGTAGCGCAGACAAGATGCGCCAATGTAAAGTCAAAAGAGAAGATGCGGTACAGCTGAATCACTCGCACTGTTTTCAAATGACTGATTTGATCTGATAGTTACGGTGGCCGAGAAGTGCAAAGCAAATCACAATTCTGAAAACAAAATAACAAATTACAAACGCAAATGCAAGTCTAAAAAACAAAATAACAATTTAGAAAACACAATGACAAATTCGAAAACAAAATCTCGAGACTGAGACAGCTATGAACTCGGCAGAGCTTCCCTCTGGATCCGTCCATTAATTATAGCAGGACAAGATATCCCTTATTTCTCGGCGTGAGAGCGGGTTGAAATGCGTGTGTCTCACGGTGAATGCGTGAGATTTGAGAGCCCTGCTGATCTGATCTGATCTTCTGTGTGGATTTATTTACTCATCAAACCTACATGCTATAGGCTATTGAATAAATGTGTGAATATCCATCATTTTAAAGTCAAAAGCTGTGGGAATGAGTAAAACTATGCGATATATATGCGCAATCCCGCACCAAAATTCAGGACCTGATTAAACATAATTCTATTATACAGAGTTTTGTGAAATAGATTTCCATGACTTTTCCAAAACTTTCTGGGTTTATTTATTTTTCCAAAACTTTTCCAGGCCTGGAAATTGCCATTTTAAAATTCCATGACTTTTCCAGGTTTTTCATGACTGTACGAACCCTGGATTAATCGCTTATCTTGAATATATTTAAGATATAAACATCACATATTTTTCTTAAATATATACATGCATGTGTGTGTATTTATATATATATAATAAATATACACAGTACACACGCATATATTATGTAAACAAAACTTTTATTTTGGATGCGATTAATCACAATTAATCGTTTGACAGCACTATTACACACACACACACACACACACACACACACACACATATATATATATATATACACATACATACATACATACATACACATATATACAAACACACACACAAAGTAGTTGGACACTTAAGCCACACTTAAAATGTATTAAATGTCATTGCATGATATAAAAATATCAAACCAAGTGGCCTTACTATAGAGAAAAGAGCACTTTAAGCAACAAATTAATATAAGAGCCTTGATTATTATATATTCTTTATGGAATGCAGGAAAATGGCTTTGTGTCACCATTAAACTCTCTCCATTTCATCAGGTCATCCATCAGTCTCTCCTTCCTATTCTCTCTCTCCACCACTGCTCCGCTCCATAAGTTCTTTCTATTTTGGACCTGCAGCCCTTGTCTGACCAGCGCTTTCCCTGCGACTGTGTGTGTGTGTGTGTGTGTGTGGGTGGGTGTGATGGACTTGTTCTAGCTGCACCATTTGGGGTGACAGGAACAGCTTGGCCTGTTTTGCATTAGCATGTGTGTAAACAAAAGCAGAAGGAGGCCTCAAGAACAAGAGTGTGTTGGGCTTCATGCTACATGTATCTAACAGTACGGTTATCCTGCAGCAACAGCCACAGAGAGGAACACGACATCTGTGTGGGCAGAGAGAAGAGAGGAAAAAACAGTTTAGAAAGGTGATGGAGGAGAGAGATGTGATGTATGAGGATGGAAATGATGAAGGTGGAATGCCATGGTTTTGAAGCAGCGCATCATTTGTGTGTGTGTAGACGTGTGTGTGTGTGTGTGTGTGTGTGAGAGAGTGTGTGGACAGCTTTGGTGTGATTAAGGGAAGACTCCTCCCCTCCACCCACTCAAACATCACTCTGTTCACTGAAGCAAAGAGGCCAACAAACACTCTAATTATACAGTGTGTGTGTGTGTGAATCTAATTAGGCACTCTGCCTCTCCTTTAGCGGTGTCAGTTAAGCAAGGATCAGATATAGTCTTAATGAAATCACTTTTCACCACAGAGCACAAATGAGGAGAAATAGAGCGAGGCGCTCAACCAAAACGCTCTGAAAATCATGACGTGCATAACATTTACTAATGTCTCCTGAAAGAAATATATTTGTGTGTGAGGTAAGGTTACATTAAAATGAAGAAATTAATATTCAACTACAGAATATAACAGTTTTAAATATATTCCTACACACACACACACACACATATAATATATACACAAACACACACACAATATACACACACAAACACACACACACACACACGCACACATAATGTGTATATATAGTGTTGGGGGTAACACATTACAAGTAACGCGAGTTACGTCATTAGATTACTTTTTTCAAATAAGTAACGCAAGTTAATTGCTTTCCTATTCATTCACTGACACCTTTCCTGTCTCCATGTTGAGAGAAATTTGGAGTAAGTGCTGAGACAGAGGCTTTTTCATCAGCCTGACGCTTAATCATCTCACACTTGGTGTGAAAGGGCCTTTACAGTCCCAAAAATATAACTTTTGGGTTTTTCTGTTTCCTGTTAAACTTTTGGGTCTTTCCATAAAAACTAAGTTATTCAATTAGTTACTTTTGTATGGAGTAACGCAATATTGTAATGCATTAGTTTTAAAAGTAACTTATTTATATATACAGTGCGTGCAGAATTATTAGGCAAGTTGA